TATGATTTAGGCTTAATACAGTTAATACTTTTGAATTATTTCAATACAAACGTGACCGTATCTTTCTTTTGGAATGATTAAGTGCATTAATCGAAAAGAATAGATGATGATGATATGCTCCAGGACAATCCTTCATTTAGAATCACTTGGTAATAGATCGCTACGGAATTTATATTGATTACTTAACACAGTAGTTCACAATCTAAAGCTAAGACAAATATTTCAATACAATAGTTTTCAAATTTAGTTTAATTGATGGGTTACTGTGTAATATTAATAAGGATCATGTGATATCTTAATTTAAAGTGTGTGATAAGATTTTAGATTTTAAGTTTCAGATATTGGCAACTACCACTTTCTGTCTTGATAAGTCTCAAATGAAATGAAATTTGTCAATTTGATATCGGCTATAGTATTTGTTGCAATCGATGAATGAATTGGTGATTTGTCGTATCAGTTAAACGTGAATAGTATAGCCACTATAAACAATATTGTAAATATATTACCATTACATGCTGTTATATGAGAAGAAGGAGGTCGTAACATTATAAATCTATTTTGGAATTTAGTAATTTAAAATTGAGAAAAACTTTGATCAATCTCGATAACAAGAAATTTAGATTGGAGTTTATAGTTACGCGCTAAAGGTGATCATTTTATCTTAATGTAAATATTGTACTGTCATAGTATTCCTTATATAGCGGTGGTAAACAGTGAAAAGTACGACTAATATTATTAGTATTCTTGATTTGTCTGAATATCTACTCAAATACTACTCCCTTCCGTCTTTTCCAGCCCCCTCGCAACAAGAGTTGTCGTCTGATTTTGTCTGCTTATTGGTTCACCGCACGATTCATATAGATCCAGTCTGCAAGTTGCCTATTCTGCTTGGTTGGATACTATTTTGATATGATTATTTAAACGATAATACCCATATGTGCAACAAGTAACAAGATCATAGTTGATCTGATATCAGGATTATCATTAGTAGCTTAAATATAGTAATCGGTGGCATAATATTTGAGGTTCGAGTTACAATTTTCTTATTGAGTGCTTCGGCCAGATAATCAGCAGGTAAGGCTGCGATACTCGTAGTGTGCAATAACTGAAACTGCATACTGATTTTCGGAGGCAAAAAATAGTGATAGTGGAGAAAATGGATTCTTGGGCTGGCTACGATACAGCTAGATGCTGATACTTAGCGCTATGCCTACGTACGAAAATGTCTTACATTACTCTAATGGATATCCTAGTTGCACTTGCACCGCATGATGTAATCGTTCTTTTATGGCATGCTGCGTCGCAGTTTGAATTTTTGACTTTTAGTGGAGATATACAATTGGTATCAAAGCATAGATGATTTTTATCTCTAATCAGCGGGGTACAAGGAATACACAAAGTATTATAAGTGATCATGTCAGTTTAGTGTGCCTAAATGGAGTCTACTAAGGAAACGATTACACCACTTTAATATTCCTGAATGGAGTCTATTTAGGAAGCGATTACTAGAGTGCCCTGAAGGTTACTACGTACATCTTGTACTTTAATATGGCACTGAGTTAGTATAAGCTGTAAATAATTCAAGCATCTAAAATGAATGCATTGATTAAAATATATTATAGGATATTAGGCGAACAATAAACTTTACTTCCTAATACTGTCTGTTCGTATTTAAATAACGTATGTTGCTCTACGTACAATGTAATATACCTATACAAATTAATGTACCTTTACTGTAACTGTACAACAGGGCTACAACGTGTACGTGACTATTTAGCTTTTCTGATCGCCTTGCCAACTGGGCTATATTATTGTGTGCAAATATTGGATCATAACGATTGATTCATTAATCTGTTAGCATTATGCAGTATTAATCATTAATTCGAGAAATTTGATAGCCACTCTTCCTGTGTCAGAGACTATTAGAATGGTCATTTTATGACTGGAGTAACGATCGTTGATGATCACTCTAGAAATATAGCCAAGTGAAAGAGTAAAAAGTGGTTAAGTGCAAAGTACAAAGTACTATGATCAGTACATTGTACATTTCTATGCAACGGTACAAGGTATAAAAGTAATTTAGAAGCGGAAAATTTGACATGTAGTTCACATAGTTTGGCAATTTCTACCGGAAATGTGTATGTTGCAAGCTTTATGATTGTCTTTACTAGAACGAACAGTAAATTATCACCAATTATCCATAGGAGGAAAATTGAGAACTGCTGAGACCATATTGTACTCGATCCAAGAAAATTGAAAAGGATTTATCATACCGATTATGAAAAATATTGATTCGTTGCTAGATTCCTTTATTTTGATTGCTGTGCAAACATGATGTACGATGGTATAATATAGATTTGGCCAATTGATTATTATTTATATATTACTTAATTATTCCTATGAACATGTGATAAAATGATTCAAATGATGCATAAGTTGGCATGCAAGCTTTACTGTCAACTTCTGAATAGGCGTATTTATAGAAATGGTTGTTGTGTTCCATCTTGAGTCATATACGTGATATTTCAGTGAACTTCCATCCATGCAATAATACCTTCTTGATATTCCATTTTAACTATTTCAATTTTCATGGTAAATTAATTAATTATAATCCATGGATAAGCATTCAATGTGGCTACGCTTGGATACATTTGGATGGATGCGCTGGCTACGATGAGGAGAAAATACCAACACCATTATGGCCTTTCTTATTCATGATTTGACAATTATGAAATATAATTGATGCGAGTATGGATGAGAAATGATAAAATGGATGTCAAATTATGATGAAAGTGATTTTAGGGGCAGTATTTTATGATGCCTGATTTCATCCTAGTCGGGGAATGTTTGTTATCTTTGGGATATTTTGAGTCTATGATTGCATTTATACAGTAGATTCGACGTAGGATGGCAGTCTTTCCTAGTCGATGGTAGAGTTGGATATCTCTGCACCCACGAGCAATCTAAATCTACTCGTATCTCGAAGTACAAGAGCAAGATGTGATTGCATGGTAGCAACGACGATGGAGAATTATGAATACTAAAATGTGCGTATTCATCAATAAATAAATAACCAGAGGAGTATGCGAAAAGCTCAGTACTAGAAGCGTTTACTTATGAGGAGAGGAAAGCGTAGCAGGTAGCAGCCGCTAGGCTTTGTCTCTCGAGGTACAAGAGCAAGATGTGATTGCATGGTAGCAACGATGATGGAGAATTATGAATACTAAAATGTTTTCTATCCTGCATAATCATCAATAAATAAATAACCAGAGGAGTATGCGAAAAGCTCAGTACTAGAAGCGGTTACTTATGAGGAGAGGAAAGCGTAGCAGCTAGCAGCCGCTAAGCTTTGTCTCTCGAGGTACAAGAGCAAGATGTGATTGCATGGTAGCAACGACGATGGAGAATTATGAATACTAAAATATTTTCTATCCCGCATAATCATCAATAAATAACTAACTAGACCAGTAAGCGCGAAAATCAGATGGAGAATCCTGAATACTAAAATGTTTTCTATCCCGCATAATCATCAATAAATAACGAACTAGACCAGAACGTGAAAAGCTCAGTACTAGGAGAGGAAAGCGTAGCAGCTAGCTTTGCTCTGCCATGTCTAGATTAACCGACTGTGAGGGTGGGGCTGTGTGTGCTATCGATCTGTGACAACATGAGAAACGTCCGTCTCTACCTGTCAGTCGACCTGAGACTGGATCGAGTCGACGTCGGATGGGCTAGCGGATGATTGGACCACCAACGCCATTGTACGACAGTATGCTAACTTGACGTCACTGCAACACACCGTTGTGGTGTTGTACGTGTGCCGTCGGTACTGTACCCATGTAGTCACGGTCATGTTGGCAAGGTGAAAATCTACTTAAATTACGGTATTGGCCGTCTGCCGTCTAATCCTTACAATACCTTATGTAGGCTGCACACGCACGCGTTCACACTATCACTGTCCCGATTCCGCTGCTGCTGCTTTTCGCCGCATTGCTAAGAAAAGGGAATATCGCCAAAGACGAAAGAGCAACATTTTTAATTGGCATTTTTTCACTCATTTTTCTTTGACGAATGGTCCACTTGACTTTAGTCCTTGGAAATTATCCATTTGACTTGATTTATTTTTACTTTGTTGACAGATTGTAGTACACTATTTGTACTTGGCGGTTGATTTTACTTTGACCATTTTCACTCAAGCAAAGTGCATTTTTTTTTTTTGTTCTTTCTTTTGACTTTGGACTATACTGTTTGTTGGTGAATTGAACGACTTGTTGCTTTGCCAAGCACACTGGCTAGTCCTTACTTTGAAATTCAACTGCGATGCTATAGTATCAAATTGTGCTTCTTTTGCTTGTTTAATTAAGGTCATTGCTTATTGTAGACATTGCTTTTTTGGGCAATTTGGTATTGCATCCTTTTCGTCAATACGGCAAGGATATCTTGTAAGCCAGCTGGTCCTTTTACCCTGTTGATACTATTGTTGTATGACCAGGATTATTTAACCGTATTCCAATTTGCACCCCTCCCGCAACGAAGCAATATTCAATTAAACTAATTTCAATTTGGTTATTGTCTTCTCATTTGGACAATATACTATTAATATATTGAAAGATCCAATACAGCTTCCATTGACTTGATGTTGTAGTCAAGCGATATACAACCCAGCTAAATTACAATTTTCAATATTGTATTCCCTTTTCTTCAAAAATTACGCTGTAACAGACGCTATTGCTGATTTGCTCCCCCTTTCTTTTTTTCCCCCTTCTACTGTATTATCGCCGATTCCCAACATTGATTCTTAACCTTAAGGTGAATAACATTTTTTGATTATTCTTTTCCATTTCAACGCTCTTGTCGACCACTCTAGCAACTACGTACGCATAAGCTTGATTCGGTAAATACAATCATCGCTGCTCTCTCTTACTATTAAGATTCATTATCCTCTGCATGTTGATAGTGTTGATCCATTTTGAACAACAATCATGCAAATGACTCATCCCAATATTACAACTGGCAAAGATACAAGCTGGCTACAAGTGGAAGTTTGTCGAGAATTTTTACGTAGCAAATGTGCACGAGATGAAGGTGAATGCAGGTACGCACATCCTGGTAACAATATTCAAATCGACAATGGCTTCGTAACTGCCTGTTACGATTCTATCAAAGTAAGTCTCTTAATTCTACTGATTGGTGTTGATATCAATTTTTCCATCACCGTGGGTCAAAAACTCAACATCTTTTGACATTAATTTCATATGCCCTCGTTGATGCTATCATTGACGCTATAGTGATTGCTTACGATTTAGTGAAGGCGTAACCTAAAAAGTTATTGTAGGGCTTTTGCTGCATTTATGGATCAAACACATCGATCTAGTTCACTGGTAGATTACTACGATCAGTTCTGCTACTAAATAAACACAAAGTAATCCTTGGTCATTTCATGCCATAATTCTATCATGCATTGACTACCCAACATAATGCACAGTACATTGCTCAATCAAAATCTTCAATAGTTCTTACAAGAGATAATGAATTAGCGTTTATAAAAATTGACACTGTCAGTATCGTTGATCGATTCTGATACCGTTTTACCACCACATATTGCGATCCAAGAATAGAATCAACGTGTATACCTAATAATAAAGCCTATCACTATAGCCAAGTACTGTACTATATAGTTCATGGATAATTTTTCTTTATAACAAGATGGTCGTCATCCATGATTTAGCGTGTCTACGACTTGAATTACATGAGTAAAGCTAACGATTGACGTATGTTGAGCATATACTGTATTAGGCGGATTTGTAAATGTATCGTACCGACCCCTAATCCTCATACTAGTACAGTACTGTAAAACAATATTCCACAAAGACGGGCCGAAAGTTTTTGCTTATTCGCCTATGCCGAGTTTGCAGGATTTTACGATCATTCATAGTCAAGCGAACTGCTTTAATTGCTAAAGAACTTGTACACTAAAGCATAACTTTCGACATCCAAAATTAAACTTGTTTGCTGAGGTTTATACAGTCCTATTCATACAATATAACTGTAATTCGAGTATAATATATTTATTTATTTTATTGTAAATGGGTGACAGTGATTGTTCAATTTCGTCTTCCGTCGCCCAATTCAATAATTTTTGGGTCTAATCAATTATTTTTATGGAAGTAGTCTTAGTTTTATTAGTTTTACTGGTAGCATATCCTAGTAATTCACTAAGTTACACGCTAATAGTAAATAATTGTTATCGCGGTTTGAGATGTGCTATGAAGGAGTTTAGGCCTATCAAAATGAGATCGCCTAGTAAAATTATTAAAGATCTACTGGGTAATTAATTAATTCCGTATAGGTATATTGGAACTGAATTATTAACCAGTTACGATACATTGCCATAGATGGCAGTAACTCTTTGATTTACATACTATTAATCGTACTATTGCGCTACGTTGATTCCGATAATTATATAATTCGGCAATAGAGATTTACTTTTGCAGCAAAATCTCATGACTGCTTACTTTTATACGTACAGTAAATTTGAAACCTGAACGGTTGGTCATCACCCCTGCCCATGTTAAAGTCTGACTATCTGACTTTACGTCTACGGAAATAGAGATTCAGTACTGCACCCTATCGAACAGTCGATGAACCCAATAAAAATCCCGTTCTCTGTATTCTTTGCGCTCTTGCTGTTTAACTTCTTTATATAGTTAAGATTCTAAAATCATTTATAAATTTTGGGTTTGTGTACTAAAAAGTTGGCATCTATGACGTAAAGTATGCGTGTATTGCTGGTTAGCATCGCTAAAATTTGTAAACGCAAGGTGCTTGCTATTAAACGAACAAGAATATGAAAAATTAACTGGATCATCATCATCCCTGTTAAAGAACTATAGATATAATTTTGTTGCAGCAATCATTTCTTTTTCTTTTAAACGTGGGTTTTGAATGAGTAGTCATATAAAAAATACTATAGTAACCATTTAATTTGAGGACCTATCGCAAGGGGTAGGTGACTTGATGGAATCAAAGCAGTTGCAGTCTCATTTTAACGATCGCAAAATAAGATTCTCTACGAATAGCTTTTAACGGTATTTGCATGGTATATGCGCGACATTCGTACTTTAAAAGTTTAGACTTAAGTGTATGGCACATTCTTGCGTAAGATTGCTGACTGTAAATCGTGCAAGAGCAATTTTTTGGTGTTATTGCATCTAACACCTTTCAATGACTGTATAATTAATGAATCTGTTTATCTATGCTACGACAGTAATCATTACAAGGATTGGTTGTTGGGTGATAGCTTTTCCTAAAACATGGTCATCACGTAAATCATTTTGTTTTAGATTGCTTGTCAATCGCAGACCTTGTTTCCTCAATAACTGTAATTGCATCCATCGAATCTGTATTCAATCAAATCAATTACTTTATATAGAAATTCATTTTCTCTAACGACATGACACCATATGCTTATGTCACGCAGTACTTATAATTAATATTGGGCAGATGGGAAATTCGAATAGCGCGTGATATTTACATTTTCAATTGTTATTTCTCTTTATTCTGATATAATTTACAATATTATCTTTGTACAAAGTTGGAGCAACATCGCTTGTATCCAATACCAATTATTTAAAAGTAAATGAATGGATTAATCATCACTTACCGTGATAATTTAAGTCATGATCATAGTCAGTACCTTTGTGTTTTATTTTACCGTCATTGGATTACATTATACTTACCTCTTTTAATGACATAATATGCTGTTGCACATTATAATGTAGTTATTTGAGCTAGGTCACGTACCATTAGAAGAAAACCTAGTAGATTTTCTTTTAGTTGCCCGTAGTTAGGTTATGGAAGGAGATAATATAATGTGTTATATTGATGCTTGTGATTTTGAGTCAATAACATCAGAGCATCTGGTGCCTATTCTTTTAAACAACTATCGCAATCAGCTTGACTGCGTTGTACATGTATTCACTGTAACAGAATAAAATGTACAGTATGTCGTAGTGTTATAAAGAGGTACATTGTATAGCCACTTTAAGAATAGCACCTGTAGGAAATGCTGCCGGTTTCATTGGATCCTACATGATAGCTAATAAATTTAAACAAACAAGGAAATTCAATCTGTAATCATGTCTTAAATGTAATACGCCGGTATTAGTTAACGAAACCGCCTAATTGTGATTCATAATTAGAATCGATGTAATCGTGAGGTTTGCAAGTACTTTCATCCACCGAAGCATTTAAAAATTCAACTAGAAAACAACGGCAGACTAAACTTAAGACAGCAACAACAACACCAGCAACAGCAACAGCAACAACGACAGATGCAGCAACAGCTGCTACTTACAACTGGACCACCATTCGTAGGGCAACCAATAGTAAGTAGAATATAAGAGCTTTTCAACAAATTTACTAGATGTTGTAATATTTGCAAACGGAATACATACATATCACATCGGTCTCGTTCTACAATTTATTTAAGATATTAAGGAAGGAATACACTATAATCGATTTCTGCCATATGTTCAAATATCTAGATATAGATATATTAAATAAACGATGCATGCACAGTGTATGTTGTACCTAATATACGCATATTTGCCTAATTCTCTAGAGCGCACCTTTTGTTAGCATAGTTCCAGCATTATATCCGGAATATGTAACTAGTGCTCCACTAGAACCGATACTGATTAACAATGCTATCGGTAATTCTATGCCTAAGAAGCCTGCTAAAGTTGACCGAATGGAGGTAATTCAAATTATCAAATACAGCGAATAATAAAACCCTTTACTTTCGTAAATCATGCATTTCATGACTAGTGTAATAATTAATTTATTAATTAGGTTTGTCGGCAGTACAGACGTGGCACATGCTCACGGGGTGAAGATGAATGTCGCTACGCTCATCCTCCTACTAATGTTGTTATCGATAAATATGATAACACTGTCACATTATGCATGGATCACATCAAAGGGAAGTGCCAACGCGATGTATGCAGATACTTTCATCCACCTCCGCATCTACTAACACGAGTAAAGCAACAGCAAGCTCAGCCGGTCCAACAGCCTCTCCCTCAACCACAACAACAACAGCAATCAACACTAGAACAGCAACCTCCGCAACAACAGCAAATAACAGATCAGGTCAGTGCGTGTTGCTTGTAAGTATTTTGAACTAGACTTGCTTTACCTGTTTTTGTATACGTTTTCATACAGATTTACGTATACCGTACTGTCAGAATCTAATAATTTCTTCTGCCATCTATAAGTGTACATATCCGCTGTATTCGCGAATCACAGCTTAAATTTTTACAACTACTGTATTCCTAAACAGGCAACTTTCACACTTGGCATCATACTATTTAGAATTGATAATAAAAACCCGTCTTTCACTTCTTCTCCTTACGATATTAACGACGAAATCTTTTCAGTAACAATTATGGAAATAAAGTTTCGATATTTATTGACTCTGAATCACTGACAATGAACGACGACTAGACTGGTAGCACGCATTAAATAGCACATAGTACATACGCTGATATAGAATTTAAGAATATATTCACGCATTTATTTTAATGTAATCAGTGATATATTGCTTGACAGTTGAATCACACTAAGCTTTGCTGTCAGCTTCGTTTTTCAGACATTTTTATAACACTTTAATAACTTTCTACTCTTATGCTATGCCACTGCTGCTGCCTAACGCTTGCTACCGTTACTAATTAGACTGACGGCAGAAAACGCAAGCTGGAGCATAACGATACGGTACACGCTGCTTATATTATGTATAAAACTAATCTAAATCAAAAAATTTTGTGGCAGTCTCTACCCTGTGATATTTTTATCCGCGATACTGGCTACCAATAAGGTTTTTTGTCTGCAACTTAGTTATAATCTCGGAACATGTTCGTCAAAAAGACTAACGAATACTTCGTTCATAAATTATATTGATCGAACAGTAATAATGCTAATATCTGATGATAGCATTCAGTACACTATTCATTGTATCAGTATAATCTAACAATGAGTTGTAATTATTTCGTATCATATACAAATGAGGCCAATCGGTCCTTTACAGAGAAATATAGTGTACGTTATAGTACAACCCTCACATTAGTCAGAATTAGTACATCTATCAATTTATGGTGTAGATACAACAAAGCAAGTTTTTTCGACCATAAATAATAAACTACGTAGTAATATCTACCTCTAACGAAAAGTATCATCTATCCGGATAATACTGATGTACTGACACGCTAATCTAAGTATAAAAGATTACCATGCTACAAAGCAGTTTCCATTGACAAGTTTTTCCTAATTTCAGAACTTTGTCAATGAATCATTTCATCCTAAAAGAAGAGTCAACGTAAATAATTTTAATGGAGCAGTTAGTCCAAATACCTTAGCTTGGCAACAGCAACAAGTATTTACGCCATTTTTTACTCCCATGGCTCAGTTACCAGGAATGCCAAGTAAGTAGTAAATTATTTAGTTTCGCCGTTTATTAATTTGATTACGCATTCAATAGGTATCTACCTTTTGTCAGCAATTGCTATCTTAAACTCTTAAAGTATCGTCATTAGTACAGCAATTTAATAGCAGCAAAATTATCTTTTACCATAGTCCCTCACACACACATGCCAACGGTCCCGGCTACGGTTGGTACTGCTAATTTTATTACACCTTCTGGTGTACCACCGACATTCGTGCCTATTCAGGTATTTATCGAATATTAATAAGTAATGATTGTATTTGTGTTTTTATTTAAATTTCGTTCACGCCATTGTATCAGGTACTATTTCACTTTACGGGTTCAAGTTAACTTTAGTTAGCTTCTATGCAACCTTGTTATTATCTACGCTTATTAGTATAATATCATGCGTACTTTTATATGAAATTATTGTCATGCTCCGTCTATGGTATTAATGAAAGATTATTTTTCTTTCTTTATCATCTGTAACGATTGTGGATTCCTTCCCGTAAATGTTCCCTAGAGGATGCCTGACGGTGAGATATGATGTGACACGAGATACACTGCAATTGCCGTAACAATTTGATGTATGTTTAAATGCGCTTTAAGGGTATCACCAGATAGCGATTTTTATCTATTACGACGGACGACTGTTGATACTGAGGTTATAATCTGATTATAGGAGTAATTTCGGACTGAAAATACTTTCTGACAAACGTAATCTGATAAACATATTCGACAAGATCCATTGCTGTTGGTATACTGAAGATTATATTCTATCCAAATAATTGCAAACTAAAAGAGGCAGTATTACGATTTTACGCAAAATATCCAATATAAAAATAGCTCTCTAAAATGTTTTTAAACTATATGTTTATCACAAAGTATCAAACATTTTTAGAATTTTTTAACAGGTCTATGAATTCGAAGATCTGATAGTTAAAAAAGTTTAGGTATTTAGTAAAGATTTTATTTAATTTGATGTTCTCTGGTACTCGCGACAATGTGAATGGTCGATGGCATTGTACCCAATCATCGAGTAAAAATGACATGACTGTATCGTGAAATATCTGCCGAATTTCTATTCCTAGTACTTTCTGCGCTACGTACTATTCCGAATTTAACATGTTAGGCTATATGAGTATTTGTCGTCTATTTCTTTATATCATTATTATTATTATTGTTATCATTATTATTATATTATTATTATGATATTTATTATTACTATTATATTATTAGTATTATATTATTATTATTGTTGTCATTATCATTACTATTATTATTAATATTATTATTATTATTATTATTATCATTATCATTATTATTACGTTATAGTTATTATTATCGTTACGGTTCTACCATTGTTATTATTATTATTAATAATAATATTAGCATTGGTATTAAAATAGTAATGAACTACTGGTAACTTAATTTTTAACTAACATTTGGTGTCAATGCTGTTGATAAATATTTAAGTCAAAATTTTAGTTGCGTTTTTCCAGATCTTTAATATCAATTACAGTTTTAGCAGGACTATGTTTTAAAGAACATTATCGTGAGAAGTTAACTTACAGTATGAATATTATTACTTGCAAATATGATACTATTTATATTATTAGAGAAAGAAGTAATTATTGTTGCTTCATGTCGGTGTTTAAGAGGTTTTAATAACATGGACTATTATTCTTTGTAGAATGATAGTAGTGACATTAATGACGTATACAACATCATTTTATCGTTTACAATTACTTGAAGGAAACTGCATCCTTCACAATTTGTCAACTGTTAGCCAACTAAAAGATTTCTAACCAATGTAATATACGGAATCAGCAAGGCAAAAAAGAATCCTATAATAGAAAATTCTTGTTATAATTTTTTAAAATTACTTTTATACCGTGTATCAATTGACCATGGACAACCGAAGACGATCCACAAGGCGATCATTTTATTTATTATGTTGATACAGTAAATCTGCCCTCGATTGTTTGCTGTACCTTCAGCTATATCTTTCGAATAGAATAATTTTACAGTTAATGGAGTTAGGCGTAAAATAAAGATTGTTACAACTTCATTTCAGAATCTCTTGTTTAACAATGGATATACAATGATTGGCCAGTTATTATAGCAGCTACAATAACAAGGAGAAATAGGTGATAGAAAGCATAGTAACGATGGCTATTACCAAGATATTTCAGTACTATATTGATTTGGTCCTATTTTGCTTAATTGGCATGTTTCAAAGTCTACATAACACAGTTTATTCTAATCTTACTGAGGAAGCACTCTGGAGTCGATGGCTGAAGCGAATTCGATTACGCAATATTGCATTTCGAATATAATTATGATATTAATGGTCTTTTCTAAAATCTAATATGATTTATATTCAAATATCCATGTGTTCATTGATGATTAAAACTATAGTTTTAATAAAATTTCTGCTAATGATATTTAGATTTACTGTATTACACAGGAATTTTGCTCATTAGATGCTTTCCACGATACCATATTTAAGCAATTAGAAGTGACTGGTAATTTATCATCAACAAGTTGCCGATTTAGGGTAGAAAGAGGGGGCACAGTTTCCGATTTTTTCCTTAGTGGATCATCCTCTAAATTGATCGATCTCTGACATTCACGTAAAACAAAGTAAGTGTTCATTAATCCTTTTCCTTTAATTGCCACCTTGCCTCGCGATTGCATTCGAAACCCTTTACCTTTCAAATATCTGTCAAAGTTTATCATTTCTTTAGGATTGGTAATATTGATATTTTAAATAGAGAACACTGCGAGAATGCTCTTATAGAACACTCTAATGTAGTTCGATTTCAATGAGTGAAGGTATAAAAGCTTATTAAATTATCTTACTTGTAACAGGCTTCGCTGATGTGAATAGTACTAGGCAAGCCATGGCTTTCCATGCGACTTGCAGTATTAACAGTATCACCAAATAAGCAGTAGCGAGGCATTTTGCTTCCAACAACACCTGCAACTACCGGCCCAGAATGTATTCCAATTCTAATCTACGATAATGTAGTAAAGGTAACGTTTACCTTTTAACTCATGTTAATGAAAATAAATGGTATCAGAAGAAATTAGATTTATCCAGCAGATGCAAATACGATTACATTGTCCTATCAATTGGCTTAAGATAGGCTGTTAATGACTTTAAACAATAGCATAACTCGCTATCCATCTTAATCAATATCGTAAATGGCTAAAATGAATTCCCATTCTGGTATAAAAGATGCTATTAGTATTATTGTGATAATAATATAGAAAGATTCTACAGTACCTATCATCTCTCCAAATTATTATACTATTTTCTTGCTTATTACTGATATATTTCATGAAAGTCATTGTAATATTGGAAAGTAGATTTTAATTTCCTGTTCACCCCTTTTATTCCAATAATTTATTTACTTCATCTCTACGCATATCTAACCGGTAACAAATTGGTTACTAAATTTTATCTGAACATGAGATCTTTTACTTAAACTGTAAACGTTCTTTGCCTTAAGATAGAATCATGTAAGCATCAACGTTTTTACTTATAGTCCTTCCTAAGCAGGATATATAATAATACCTATAATACTATCACCTACACCAATTACTGAAAATATGCAGTATTTGATAACATTTATGTATTAAAATCACCATACTGTCCAGCAGATACGATCTAAATTATAGTATTAGTTGTAGCTGTAATTCTAATGATTATTATTTAAAATAAAGAATTTTTTATACTTACTCGAAGTGGTTTGTTATCAGATGGAGATGATACTTGCACAGCACAATCAACCATAGATAACGCCATTCGAGCTACTTTTTCAGCGTGATTAGCACATGGTTCCGGTAAACCTCCTACTACCATGTATGCATCACCAATAGTCTCTACCTAAACAAAATAAGGCAAACTCTACTTGTTAATGATTCGAAGTACAACACCTGATAGATTGTTATAATAGTGTTTCATTAATATCAATGAAATTAAATTCATTATGACAATCATTATCGATAATAAAGTGAATGATTTTATCTTACTAGCGAAATGATATCACTAGATGTATTAGCAAAAATGATTTACCAATGTGGTAAGAATCAATCCATCGTAAATGATCAAGTGGTTGACATAAAAGACTTCAATTAATTATGACCGAATGTTTTCACTTAAGATGATTCGATTACAAATTTTTTAAAACTAGAATTCTAGGGAAAGATGCAATTTATTGTGTTCTTATAGTACTTTCACCGCATCTGAATATAACATATGTACAGTGTAGCTGGCACTATATTCAACTTGAATTATACTCGTCTCGTTCTAAAATAATCGATTGGAGACCGCTTGACATGATGGCGAAAATAAATCAAATAATAATTTAGTATGCAACAGTAGATCTCACCTTATAAACGTCATGAACATTGGTTAGCTTGTCAAATTTCACATACAAACTGTTCAGAAACTGAACCACATCCATAGGTCTACACTGGCTGCAAATGGTTGTAAAGCCTACGATATCACTAAACATAATACTAGCTTGTTCATATTCTCCAGCCTCTACTGTATCACCATTGCGTAATCGATCGCTGACTAATGGTGGCAACATACTATGTAATAAATTATCTGCTTTAACTTTTTCCATTTCTAGGGCTACCGATGTTGCTTGCAATTGAGCAGTTGTCTCTTCTAATTGCTTAGACAGCTGAAATTCTGCTAAACGTTGCTCATTTAGTAGCAATAATTCACGAGTCATATCATGAAGTGGAATATCACTTATAAAGAGACCACGATTTTGTAAATCAGTTAACTTCTCAACTACGGGTGAGCAGATGAACATATAATGTGAACCATGTTCTTCTAATTCGACCATTTCACCTTTTAATTGAAATAAATTGCCTTCTTTAATAGATTTATCTTTACATTGTAAGATAAAATCGTTATTTCTGTAGCTTTTAATACTTCGTTTACATAGTTTAACAGGTGGTTTAAGACATTCGAAAAATTGATCCAGTCGTGGTTTATCCGCTGTATTTAAATCCTGTAAGCGTCGATAAAGACCAACACCAACACGTTTAATAATTAAATCTTGATCGAAGATAATATGAAATGGAAAAATACGGCAAAAGACTTTAGAATTGACGTATTCAGTTTGTGACTGGTAATCAAAACTCTCACTGCTGTAGCCATTCATGTGAACAAACATTGCTGCTCCAGGCTCCATTGCAATTGTTTCCGTACGTGCCAATTTAATATCGGCGTAACCTAAATCGCAAATTTCGAAGACGATGTGATGGCGATTGGCATAACGACTATTGTCAACTGTCTTACTGATTATTTTAATGGAGATTCGACGATTAAAGAGGGAGCGGGCAGCTTCTCTAGTTGCACCAACAACGATACCGAATAAATTCTCACGACACGAATAATAATGGAGGTAAAACTTTTTTGGATCATCTGAAGGCATGCACTGAAACTCTGGAGGTTTCATACCATTGAAAGTCATAGATAGATGAGCATGGAGGGCATTTAGATTACTTAAGAAATTGAAGAGGTTAGATCCAATGACTTTTATCATGCTGACATAATTAGTACGATGGCACCAAACAACAAAGAATTGTCCATAAGTTTCTAGAAATTGATCTACTGAAATACCTGTAAATGATATATTGGAGAGAAACAGCGAAAGATAGAAATAGAAAATTAGGAAGTCATTATAAGATTTTAACATCAACCTCTAATATGCTGTACTATAATTATATATTAATGCTATAGGTATGGATACACAACTAATCTATAGATCAATATATACCCAATAATTTAGAACATTCTTCAGCGACGTCTACGGTAATGTTGTCATCGTAAGGATGTTTCATGATAAATTTCTCCGGAATACAATCTATTTTATTCCTACATTGCATAAAAATTACAGCGTTACTCATTTTAGAATCTTAATATCAAAGTTAGAATATGGCAAGGATCAAATAATCTATAGATGGTAAGGTTATCTTAACGTATATTTGGTTTTCAAACACATTAAGAGTACTATATATCGCTCTTGGAAGCAACGATTCTTATTTATCTTAAGCAATTAAGTTTAATATTACAGCAACACTTTCATGGCATTTGATGAAATGGCTTTCATTAGCAATTTATATATTGAATTTTTTATAATTAATTAAATTAAATATCATGCTGATCGAAAAATCTTAATGAATTACAATAATTTTCCAAGAGTCTTATATTTTTATAGAATACTACGCGTTGCTTTTAGTGATGAAAATACCATAGCCCTAGGATCACGTCAGTTTAATAAATGCTTGCTATTTTACGCCATCTAATTAGCTTGATATATGGGTATTTCTTATACTGAAGGCCTAGTTTCTTTAATGATTTAGTATTTGTATATTAGCGTTACTAGTAGTTACAGAATAATCCAGAACAGTAAATGGGTTATAATGGATGATTTATGCAATAATACATTTTACGATATCCTATAAGATGAAGTGGCTGTCAGTAGTGATGCTGCATCTATTTCCAAGATTTCATATTAATCTATTTTAATAAATTGGCTTAATATATGCATGTATAGTTCAAATATCGATATAAGGTAGGGAATGATGCTTCTTAGGCAAAGGAGTAATTGCATCATAAATTGGGGAAGACCTTGTTTGATAATTTAAATGCAGGTAAGGAGGAGAAATAGTGGCACCTTCTGCCGTTATAGGTATATAAAATCACTTGTGTTGAATCATTGGCATATTCCTATTTATATAGTAAAGAATCTGTAACAATGTTGGTGACGTAATGCTTACTTTAATTAAGAATAACGCTACGCAATCAACAAGATATACAGAGTATATATCGAAAGTAAAGACATAATAACCCGACTGCTAAAGAAACATCAAAGGTTTAAAGAATACAGCATTTTGGTTAGCAAACTATACTTTTACAATCAGTGGACGAACGGTAAAATTAGCTCAATAAAGGATTAATGGTTTGAAATAAAATATTCAAAAACTCATGTAAGGTAAATTGAATTCTCATAATATGGAAGTTTACTAGAATTTATCAATAAGGACTGGATTTAATATAAGACGCAGTGAATATGAATAATACATTTCTACAGAAGCCTAATGTCTACTTTTACAGTAATACGAGCATATCAATAGAAATAGCAGCTGTTGAATTATCGTAGCAGAAATAATTCCTTGTTTTCAATCTTATTACAAACAAATTGGAAATTTCGTAAACAAAAGGTGTTATGGGCAACAACAAGTGAATAATCGCAGGCATACCGTACTTATTATACTGTATATCAAGTAAGGGTTAAATCAAAATAGTGCCTTGTATATTTCTAAAGCAACCTCTAAATAGTACTTTAGGCGATTCATGTCTTCAAAAGCCCGGAAATTGTATCAGCCCGATTTTCTTGATAGTCTATATCCTTCTTTCTTAAAAAATGAATCGTCTTTCACGGATATTTTTTTAAAGGGATGTAAAATTACGCTAATGTGGATAAGGTATAATTATTTATAGATGCTTAGATTTATTCCAGCAGCTTTTACGGGTTGATCAACACTTAACACATCTACAAATTGAAATCTTGCCTCAAATCTTACAAATGTTATAGTCATGCTGTGTTATACTTATACAGGACAGTACTTCGAGAAATGACTTTAATTATCGATATAAAATAGATTCTGTGAGGGAAATGTAATGATGGTTTTGTACTATTGTTCAAATTTATCGTGGCCTCAGTAACTTTGTGTAGTAAATTAAAATGCTACATACGTCCTAACTTGGAGATGATACAGCGATGATAATCTCTATTAAAAGTGATTCATAATTACTGTACAATATGCTATTTGACAAACAGTATTACCGTGCTAAAAATTCTAGAATTATTTGTTATATCCTAAGTGCGCATATACCAGTATATAGTTAAAATTAGGCAAAAGGATTAAATCTTTACGATAAAAATAATTTTTATAGCAAGTAAGGATGGTCACATCCGATAGAAATCAACTATGATAATTTCTATTAAAACTCTTCTGCACTATTAACGAGACAGAAATTACCTTCTCTATATTTCGTACCGTATCAGAGAATTAGGAATCTAGTTTAATTTTTTTACCTCAGCTGTTGCCATGTGTCTTTGCCAAATCTCTCTTCCACCAGGACTTGAAAAACATGATTGATAATACCGTACTAAATCGAAATTAGGAACAACATCGTATGTTAGTATATGCACTTGGCGATCATTATCTTGGATTTGATGTCGGATTAAATCATGTTATAATCATCTGTGGAAGGGTGGTGCGAGTTAACTAAAATTAAATTTAAGTATTCAGATAGGGTGGCAGAGAATGTCCTATCCATTTCTGCCTTCGTTAGAAATATCTTTATTATAATTTGGCGTGTTGCAGTTTTGGCATTAACAATAAATGACGTTTACGTATTTAAAGTAAAAGTGCTTAAAATATTTTCAGAGTCGATGGTCGTTTGGTTATATAAAAGTAGAACAATTAATGGCAGGGATATGAGCTGAAATAAAAATTAAATCTTTTATCTTACCATGTCTCTCTTTAAATAAAAGGCAGCGTGTGACAAATTACTTGATGGGGTAGCAGAAGCTAAAAATTCTACCTGATAGAATCACTAGAATAGCAATAAAAAGTATTACTGGCTAGATGAATGGTTATCGACCATTCCTTAATTTTTTATGCCCAACTGATGATTGCGTATTTTGGCGGCAAGAGAGGACAAGCTGTCCATACCATCTGAGGTTAACATACAGTGGATGCAGTTTTTTACGTATTTGATCCAAGATATTCTTTCCTAGTCCATGTAATCTTAGTCAGACTTTATACCTCAAGTTCATAAATCCATCAATCGATCTTCCGCTAATTAGATGAATATTATGTTTATTGTAAAACTTCCTAGCTGTATAAAAAATGTTGGAGATCAAAGGCATCAATAGATAAAAAGATCTACTGTTACCAATTCTTTAAAGATTAATGCTGCTGGCAATAAATCATCTTAGTTATTTCTAGCTATTAGGTATTTCAAATTAGTCATGGTGAGCTCTAGATTGACGTTTTAGTCACAGAAATAAATCGTATGCCGTACTAGCTCCCTCTGCCATTTTCATGAATGATTGATTAACTTGTTTTGAAAAATTAATGTACAAAACAAATAATAATTGAGAATGGACTGAGGGCTTAGATAAACGTAATACCTTCAGGCTAATTTTACAAGAGTAGAAACCCATGATCAATACTTTATAGCAATAGATTAAAAATGCGTAGTGTAAAATAAATGCCAACTTTTAGTTGATTGGTATTTCGGAAGTCGAAGCGGAGAATGACGATGAAAATAATCTCTAACATTTGCACAGCCTCATTAACTCAATCTCAACCATTTAAGATTGAATTATATCCTGAATATTTAGTAAAGTAACCTTAATATTGATCTGTAGGTAGTAGTATGTAGTGTAAGAACATTATTCAGGCTGTTTTACAAGGTTATTATCTAAACTATTAACGGCCAATTCTTTTATTTACCAATTTAATCCCGACTTCATTCATATTATTTGCTAGCTAAGAATAAATTGATGTCCTGCAATAGATCCGCAGCTGGTAACAATAGTAAGTTCACCTACGAAAGAAGTACTGCCTTGAAAGAATCACTTTCAATGAATGCATGACTAAATTTAGATATTAAAGCCATAGCCTTAGGAATAATAAAGACAACGATGAAAATATTGGATAGAATATAGTTCATAAGAATTATGAGATCAAAGCAAAGGCCTTATGTCAGTAAAAATGCCGTAACGTAGTATACATACTCGTAAATTAGCAATTGCATATTGGTGATTCAATTACAGACATTGCATGCTATGATAAGTAAAAGGAAGAAAGACTAAGACTAGTGAATAGAGAGTTCTATTAAAGAGAGGAGATATAAGTAAGACGGCAGCATATAAGTACAGTATAGCCCTGAGAGGCAAAACTAAAGTATCCTTTGGAAGATATTTACTAGATCAAACAGTAATTTTAAAATTATTTGGTTGATATGGTGAAACCGAACCATTTTTATGGTAAATAAATATTGCATGTACCCCTCCAGTCGGTAACGATGTTTACTGACTGTGAATAGGTTTAATAAAGAAAATGTAAATAAGAATCTATTCTAATCTTCCGAATGAATATTTAGTTGAGATCAATTTCAACCCTGGGGCTATAGAAAGGACCTTCATCAACATGACATATTCCTAGAAATTTCATAACGGTTTGTAAGCTCTATTTGGGTCCCTAATGTTTATCAACTGTAAAGAATTCCTTCTTAATAATAGAGTGCATGATTCCGAAAAAAAATTTTATTTTCAATTTCTCTTTGTAAATATCATGAATGACAGATGTAGAGCCCACGATAAGTTAAGTCATTATCATGGAAAATGATGAAAAGGACTGGATTAAAAGTAATCACTTGAATGATAATAGAGTATTAATGCAGGATAAGTAAATAATTCACATCTTTCACATACCGCTACACTACAAGATTTCTTGTCTATAAATTTATGCCTACATTGTTATCCAAACCGAAAGTCTTGACGACAGGTTTATAAAATGGATACAGCAGTACACTCAGGAGCAAATTACCCATAATTCTATGCTAAATCCTAAGCCTTAAACTTTCACTATTTTTACATTGTAAAATTAAGAGATTTTCCCTCTATCTCCACAATCTTTACTCTCCACAATCTTTACGTTACTAAGAGATTTCATATCTGTCGTTCAAAATAGCAGCATATAAGTGTTCAATTAAGGTAGTGATATTATCTCTAATCCTCATTAACAAAGATTACGCGACATTCCTTCAGATGATCACAATGTACAAGTCTAGATATATTATTTTTTCTGAGCTACCATCTCGCACTTAATGCATAAGCTATAGACCTTTCTATAATATCCAGACCGTTATTCACATTAATTTTAAAGCTTTAATATGTTAACGCAATTGCGCACTATTCTACCTTTTCTCTCTTAATGACATGATGTAAATATTTTGATTAGCAGTAAAATCAAGCCATTGCGTAGAATGACAACCTAAATGCACATTTAATGTTCGAAGAATATACAAACTAGTATTTAGACCTGTAAATAATGCTGTTGCTCATGGAAGTTGCGACTATAAAATCTTTTTAATTTAAGATCCTGTACAGAGAAGGCATATACTCGTACGAATATGCTGCATATATCCCTTGCGTAATTTAGAATATCTCTTATTTAATTGTATAATAAATAAAAACACCTTGACTGAAACGAAATTTATAACAGTGGTACTTTTCTACCGTGAATTTTCATTAGATGTAGCGACCTATGTTGCAAGTTTCAGCAATTAATTATCATAGATTATTGAGGATTCATATGACATGGATACAATTTTAGCGCCAAATATTAATAAGCAAATAGATTCTTGTTACATGTTTCTAAAGTATTCTAAAGGTGTGCAGTAATATTTATAATTAATAGTGTAATAGAAAGAACGTCACAACAAAACTTTTTGCGGTCAAAAAAAGAATTTGTATCTCATATCTGTATTTCATATAACTACAGGACAAATACTCGCATAGCGACATTATTACTGATTAGGTAGCAATAGATAGGTTACAGCTACTGCAGCTTTAGTGCACATGATTCCCTACTTCCTGTTACATTTTGTAGCATGTTTTGGTTCTGTTTGAGTATACATTAATACAGATCAAAGTCATAGATTTTGGTAGTATACATTCAACATGCTAATGAAGTTGTCGCTGAAGTGTTCGCCCCGTTGCACTCCAGTACATTAGATATCTACTTCGCAGAAATGGTAGTGTAAATCATGAATGAATATCACAAAGGATAGATGAGCTGATACTTTAAACGAGACTATAGTTCGATGTCTCGATAACGGTATTTACCCTTTTCACGATATACCTTCATGTTAATACAGCTTGCAAAGATAGAATAGTATCATCATGATATCGCTTTAAGTATACCCATGGTTATACCTTTTCCATCTTATAGCTTCGTGTTGATATAGTTTACAAAGGTAAAACAGTATCATCATAATATCTACTTAGCCATGCAGCTAATGGTATATGTACGCTCGTGTTGCGGAGTGTAAATATTGTAATTAGTTTGGTATATTAAAAGAATTGTACACTGAACCTTTCTAACTTTATTACAACAATCTTTTACGTATAATTGAAAGTATAACAATCGCATTAAAATTCTAATGTTAATATCCACCTGTATACAGTACTATGCTAAAGGGGATGTGCACAGTTAATGGGTTGCCTAATAAATCATTCACAATTACTTGTATCATAACTTGGAGAACAAATTTGATATTTGATTTGAGCGATTTTCACGTCATAAATTTCATTTTCTAAGATAACTCGGAAAACGTCGGGTTTAACTAGCTGCTAGTAAATCGATCGGAGTTGTATTCCGATCGATAATCCCTCCTAAAGTAAATTATAAAATTTTCAATAGTCAACTTTTTAAATACAATTGCAAAAATTCGGGCTGATTCCTTTCATGTACTTGCATAAATGTCTTTTAGATATCGGGTGTATGTAAATCGACATTGTAGGATCGTATTTCTTGATAGTAGTGAAGTGGGAGACCATTTTGAGATCTTCAGTTTTCACTATAGTTTAGCTTATCTTAAGACAGATCATAGTCCGTTTTAAGTCTGGATCAATCTCTAGTTACAAGCATTTAGTCTCATATTTTAAAAATAGATTTAAAATTGTCTAGTGACGGTACGTAGTATAAAGTGTAAATCCAGTATAGGCAACACCATTATCGGAATACAATAAAGTTATCAGTCATGACAGTGAAATAGACCTGAAATTTTCGCCATGCGTATAATATTACCTTCCATTTAACAGTTTATAGGGGTTCTGGCATATATTTACTGTCTCCATTTATTAGGTTGTATACAATAGTAATGGCACTCGGACGGTATTTATTATTTCCATTTACCACATTACTTACTCAGTAATGCATTCTTAAGTTTACTTACTCATCAAGTTAAAATCTGAACGGTCTAATGGACAGCGTGCACAACTGAAAATCAAGAGAAGATGCGTCGCATGATACCATTTTATTTTTAGTCGTAAAAAATTTAGGCAATTTCAAATACACCTGCGCACATTT